CCTGTAAAGAGGTACAAATACAGGTGGGGAGACTAGTTAGGAAGCTATGTAATAATCTTGGTGAGACCCAATGGTGGCTCGGACCAGAATGGAGCAGTGGAAGTAATGGTAAGTGGTCGGAATTTGGGTATGTTTTTTGTTTGTTTGAGAGAGTCTCACTCTGTCACCCAGGCTGGAGTGCAGTGGCACGATCTCAGCTCACTGCAACCTCTGGGTCCTGGGTTCAAGTGATTCTCCTGCCTCACCCTCCCTAGAAACTGGGATTACAGGGATATGCCACCATGCTTGGCTAAGTTTTGTATTTTTAGTAGAGACAGGGTTTCACCATGTTGCTCAGGCTGATCTTGAACTCCTGAGCTGCCCACCTCAGCCTTCCAGAGTGCTGGAATTACAGGTATGAGCCACTGCTTCCGATCAGAATCTGGATATGTTTGGAAGGAAGAGCTGACAGGATTTACTGACAAGATTGTAGGATGTGAGAAAGAAAAGAGTCAAGTATGACCTCAGGGTTTTTGGACTAAGTAACTGGATGGATAGAATTGCCATTTACTGAAGTATGTAAGGGTGGTCCTTCTTGAAATTTTGTCTGGGTAGGTGGGAAATAGTATCTCATTGTATTTGTTATTTTCCCCAGTTTTCAGTGAGGTCATAAATCTTTTCATGAATTTCTTGGCCATACTGGTTTGCATGTCTATGAATTGCCTGACTATATACTTGGCCTGTTTTTCTTTTGGATCGTTTCCCATTCATTTATTGATTGTCATATGTTACAACATGGATAAACTTTGAGGACATAATGCTAAGTGAAATAAGCCAGTCACAGAAGGACAAATACGGCATGATTCCACTTACATGAAGTATCTAAAGTAGTCAAACTCATAGAAAGAGGAAATTGAATGGTGCTTGTAAGAGGTTTATAAAATTCTCCACTTACTGATAATAGCTATATTCTGCAACATTGCATCAAATCCTTGTTTTTTAAAGAGACGGGGTCTCGCTGTGTTGTCCAGGCTGACTTTAAACCCTGAGTCTCGAGTGATCTACTTCAGCCTTCTGAGTAGCTGGAACTACAGGCATGCACCACTGTGCCTAGCAAAATTCTAGACTTCTTTGAGGTCATTTTTGTCCAGATTTCTTCTCAAAATAATTGTCCAGGATATTAAAAATATAGACCCTTCTGTACTTCTTTATTAATAATTTTCATAAAACAGGCTGAGATTACAGGCATGAACCACCCCACCTGGCCTGCACATTTGAAAGAATAGCTATCAGATTGGGCACGGTGACTCACACCTGTAATCCTAGCACTTCCGGAGCCACAGTCTCAGCACTTTAGGAGGCTGAGGTGGGTGGATTGCTTGAGCCCAGGAGTTTGAAACCAACCTGGGCAGCGTAGTGAGACCCCATCTCTATAAAAATTCAAAAAATTTAAAAAGAATAGCTATCTCTCCCAGTGTTTATGGACTAGCATTGTGCTGGGAAAGTCTCTGTATGATCAGTCACCTTCACCAGTCAGCCCAACTGGATGTTCTGGGGGCCTCTGAAACTTTTTTAGCAGGTATGATTTCTCTGGGCCTCTGCCTGCATTTTCTATATTCAAGAGGCTAGGTGGTTTCTTTTTCGGAAGTTTGTAATTTCTTGCTCCTTCTGGTGTCTGTGGCACTACAAGTTCTTTGGTTCTATAGCAGCAAGCTACCCCACTCTCATCTTCAGTGGCCACCAGGTGTCCAAAGTAGCTGGCTCCCTCTCAGTTCAAGTCTTGTGAGAAAGCTACCAGTCCCTCAGGCACTCTTCTGAAAAGCTAGAGAGCCTGATGCACATTACGCTATCTCGCTCTCCTGATACTGAAACTTCAAGTTGTGCCCCTTCTCCAGATCTTGTTGACCTCATCGAGTCATGCTGGCTGCAGCAAGCTGTAGCCCACCTCTTTTCCTTGTTCTCAGCAACCTTCAGGGATCCAAAATTTGCCAGCTCCATCAGTTCTCCAAGAGAGGCAAGACAAACAAGTCTCATCCAGCCCTCTGGAGAGCCGGAACGCCAGTCGCCATGCTCTGCTATTCTCCCTCCCTCCTGAGGGAGAAGTCATAAGCTCAGGTGTTCTGGCCTGGCCCTGAGTTGTGCTGGCTTGGGGGAGGGGTTAATGGGGAAAATCAAAATTATTCTTACCTGTGTCAGTTTGTTCTGTTTGGCTTTGTGCTTGTCTGGGGTACAGCAACTTTTTTTTTTTCTTTTTTTCTTTTTTTTCTTGAGACAGAGTCTCGCTCTGTTGCCCAGGTTGGAGTATAGTGGCATGATCCTGGCTCACTGCAACCTCCGCCTCCTGGGTTCAAGCGAATCTCCTGCCTCAGCCTCCTGAGTAGCTAGGAATACAGGCGCCCACCACCACCCTCGGCTGATTTTTGTATTTTCAGTAGAGACGGGGTTTCACCATATTGGCCAGGCTGATTTTGAACTCCTGACTTCAAATGATCCGCCCACCTCAGCCTCCCAAAGTGCTGGGATTACAGGCGTGAGCCACCATGCCCAGCCGGGTACTGCACTTTTTAACTAGATTTTGGAATTCTCATGAAAGTATTTGGGTTTGTATATGTTAAATCGGTGTTTCTGTGGGAGAACAAGGGCTGAGACTTCCTCTTGACGTCTTCCTCCTCCCCATAAAACTTTTTTTTTTTTTGAGACGGAGTCTCACTCTGTCACCCAGGTTGGTGTACAGTGGCGCGATCTCAGCTCACTGCAACCTCCGCCTCTCGGATTCATGCTATTCTCCTGCCTCAGCCTCCCAAGTAGCTGGGACTACAGGTGCCCGCCACCACGCCCGGCTAATTTTTTGTATTTTTAGTAGAGACGGGGTTTCACCATGTTGGCCAGGATGGTCTCAATCTCCTGACCTTGTGATCTGCCCGCCTCAGCCTCCCAAAGTGCTGGGATTACAGGCGTGAGCCACCGCGCCTGGCCCCTCCTCCCATACTCCTTTAGACTGCTCAGATGTGAAATAACTTCAGAAACCTACCCAAATATTTATTATGATCCTGCATGTTTGCCATTTCACAATCAATGACATTTTGAGGCCACATTGACTATAAATAATCACATCTGTCTTTGGAAAAGCCGCATTCTGTTTCACACTATTTTTTTTTTTTTTCTCCTTGCAAAGTTGGCTTTCTGGATGGAGAGAATGGTATGTCGGCAATAGGGATCTGTATATTTCCTATTTCAAGAGCACACGAATTATCAGCATCTGAAATGAAAACACAAAAGGAAAAGCTTAAACTTGCCACATAGAAAGTTCTTCAAGCTTGAATAGTGTCTTCATAACCCTAATGGGTTTTTTTTAGGATTATAATAGTTCTTTTTAAATGCTTTATATACTTAACAAACAGTAATCAAATCATTGCAGATTCTCATATGCAAGATTTAGGTGCTGGCAGCAATAGTTACATAAATTATAATGTCAACTATGACAAATTATGTGTCTGGAGCTAGAATATAAAATAGAAATGTGCCATCATGGCTACAAATGGTTAAGAATATAGATTCTAGGCCGGGCAAGGTGGCTCACTCCTGTAATCCCCGCACTTTGGGAGGCCAAGGAGAGTGAATCACCTGAGGTCAGGAGTTCCAAGACCAGCCTGAGCAACATGGTGAAACCCCGTCTCTACTAAAAATACAAAATTAGGCCAGGCGCAGTGGCTCTAATCCCAGGACTTTGGGAGGCCGAGGCAGGTGGATCACCTGAGGTCAGGAGTTTGAGACCAGCCTGACCAACATGGTGAAACCTCGTCTCTACTAAAAATACAAAATTAGCCGGGCTTGGTGGTGCATCCGTGTAATCCCAGCTACTCAGGAGGCTGATGCAGGAGAATGGGTTGAACCCAGGGAGGCAGAGGTTGCAGTGAGCTAAGATCGCGCCATTGCACTCCAGCCTGGGTAACAAGAATAAAACTCCGTTTCGAAGATATAGATAGGTAGGTAGGTAGATAGATAGATTGATTGATTGATTCTAGAGTCAGAATGCCTGGGTTTGAGTCCTAGTTCCACCAGCCATCATCCAGGTAATCAGGGTCAAGTTATTTAGCCATTTTTAATCTTTTTTTCTTTTCGTGCCTCATTTTCCTCACCTATAAAATGGGTATGTTAAAAATAGCACCTACTAGCTGGGCGCAGTGGCTCACACCTGTAATCCCAGCACTTTGGGAGGCCGAGGTGGGGGGATCACAAGGTCAGGAGTTCAAGACCAGCTTGGCCAAGATGGTGAAATCCCATCTCTATTAAAAATACTAAACTTAGCTGGGTGTGGTGGTGGGTGCCTGTAATCCTAGCTACTTGGGAGGCTGAGGCAGAGAATTGGTTGAACCCTGGAGACGGAGGTAGCAGTGAGCCAAGATCGTGCCACTGCACTTCAGCCTGGGTGACAGAGCAAGACTCCGTCTCAAAAAAAAAATAATAATAATAATAATAATAGCGTCTACCTCATAGGTTGCTGTGAGAATGATAGATAGATATAAAATAATTTAAAAAGTGCCTAGATGGGCCGGGCGCGGTGGCTCAAGCCTGTAATCCCAGCACTTTGGGAGGCCAAGGCGGGCGGATCAAGAGGTCAGGAGATCGAGACCATCCTGGCTCACATGGTGAAACCCTGTCTATACTAAAAAAGATACAAAAAATTAGCCGGGCGTGGTGGTGGGCGCCTGTAGTCCCAGCTACTTGGGAGGCTGAGGCAGGAGAATAGCGTGAACCCGGGAGGCGGAGCTCACAGTGAGCAGAGACCGTGTGCCACTGCACTCCAGCCTGGGCAACAGAGCAAGACTCCGTCTCAAAAAAAAAAAAAAAAAAAAAAAAAAAAAAAGTGCCTAGAGTACAGCAAGAACTCAATCATGGTTGCTGTTACTATTTAGAAAAAAACAGTTGTAGTGAGATTGCTCTTTTTAAGCTAGTGGCTGTTAGGTATCATTCATGTTATATTTTAAAAGTATGAAATGACCTTTCTACTTCATTTACAGAGTTGAAACTGTGGGACAACCAGACAGAAGAGACAGCATAGGAGTGTGTGCAGAAAAACAGGATGGATATGACTCTCTGCAGCGGGATCAAGCTGTGTGCATTAGTACAAATGGTAAGAGATAAATAACTGTCATTCTCTTGGAAATATATGAATTATTGTAGTAATATATGAATCTGTTCCAGTTTCATACATTTATAGTAGGAGATGAGAAAATTTAGGTATTTTTCTTTTTTTTTTTTATTTTTCTTTTTTTTTATTTTGAAGTCTCACTCCATCACCCAGGCTGGAGTACAGTGGCATGATCATAGCTTGCTGCAGTCTCAAATTCTTGGGCCCAAGCCATCCTCCCTCCTCAGCCTCCTGAGTAGCCGGCACTCCAGGTGCATGCCACCGTGCCTGGCTAATTTTTTTTATTTTTACTTTTGTAAAGATAAGTTGTTGCCCGGGTGGGTCTTGACTCCTGATTTCCAACAATCCTCCCACCTTGGCCTCCCAAAGTGTTGGGATTACAGGTGTGAGTCACCGTGGCTGGCTGAAAGTTTTGGTCTTAATGACATAATTTATGTGACTACTATGTACCAGGCATTGTTCTAAACTCTCTACAAACAATAAATCATTCAGTCTACATCCCTAGTGCTCTTTAAAAATCACCAGACAGAGGCCGGGCATGATGGCTGACGCCTCTAATCCCAGCACTTTGGGAGGCTGAGGCTGACGAATCACGAGGTCAGGAGTTCGAGACCAGCCCGACCAACATAGTGAAACCCTGTCTCTACTAAAAATGCAAAAAATTAGCAGGGTGTGGTGGTGTGAGCCTGTAATCTTAGCTACTTGGGAGGCTGAGGCAGGAGAATCGCTTGAACCCAGGAGGCAGAGATTTCAGCGAACCGAGATCGTGCTACTGCACACCAAGCTAGGCGACAGTGTGAGACTCCGTCTCAAAAAAAGAAAGAAAAAAAAAATTCACTGGCAAGACATGCTAATATTTTGTGTTGTTGGCACGGTGGCTCACGTCTGTAATCCTAGCACTTTGGGAGGCCGAGGTGGGTGGATCACGAGGTGAAGAGGTCAAGACCATTCTGGCCAACATGGTGAAACCCCATCTCTACTAAAAATACAAAAATTAGCTGGGCCTGGTGGCCAATACCTGTAATCCCAGAGGCTCAGGCAGGAGAATTGCTTAAATCCAGGAGGTGGAGGTTGCAGTGAGTCCAGATCATGCCACTGCACTCCAGCCTGGGCAACAAGAGTGAAACTCTACCTCCCAAAAAAAAAAAAAAAGTGTTGGTGAGTCAAGAATTTGGTAGAACAAGATTCTTTCTTGTTTATTCCATAAGAAACAGTCTTGCTATTTCACAGGAGGTAATTTTGTAACTGTCAAGTTTCTTTTCATGACATTGATATGGGCAGCTCATAGTCTGCTGGAAGAGTAGAGCCCTGGACAGAACTCTAAAATCTGTGTCTAGTTGGCATTCCAGATTTTTTTAGTCTGAATTAGGAAATGAGCTATGTTACCAGTAATCCAGAAACTATTTCAGATCTCTTAGTTACTGCTTACATGTAAATGACTCTTTACCTTAACATTTTAGGTGCAGTTTTTGTCAATGGAAAAGAAATGACGAATCAGTTACCCGCAGTTACTTCTGGGTCCACTGTCACATTTGACATTGAAGCCGTGACTCTAGGAACCTGCAATAATAATGAAGGTGGGCACTTCAAGCTTCGAGTAACTATAAGTTCAAATAACAGAGAAGTGGTTTTTGATTGGTTACTTGATCAGTCATGTGGTTCTCTTTACTTTGGATGCTCATTTTTCTATCCTGGATGGAAAGTGTTAGTGTTTTAGATGTTTGGGTGCTTGGCTTTTGTTTTCAGGGTTTAACATAGCTGTCCTCAGCCCAGCATAGTTGTAATTCCTTTAAAAAAAAAAAAAAAAGGTTGAATTCATCTCTAACTTAGGCCATTGGAAATGGAAAGTGTTTACTGGATTCATTTTGTAATATTTTAGCAAAAAGAGACTTGAATGTTGTGGACAAAATCATATAATTCAGTCATTTTTATTTTTACCATACTGTTAAATATCACATCACAGTAAAAATCAAATTGGTTTTACAAGTATGAGAAAATATAGAAAGTTCTATACCCTTCCACTCTACTTCTTAAAGTGTTTATTAGACCAGGAAAACTTAATGTAATATTATTTTTTAAATCATCATAAAGGATCCAAGTCCATGTAACTCTTTAGAATAAAACAAGAGGAATAGATCAGATAGAAGAAGCTGTGTAATGTATTAATACATCCACTCATGTGCTGTCCACATGAATGTGTTGACTGTGCTTTCCATGTTCGGGTATTTGTAAGCAGTGTAGAATTTTATCCCATCTTCAATAATCTTTAAGTCCCCAAAACATTATAGTGTTTTCTTTTTTTTTGAGACGGAGTCTCGCTCTTGTCGCCCAGGCTGGAGTGCAGTAGAGTGATCTCAGCTCATTGCAACCTCTGTCTCCCGGGGTCAAGTGATCCTCCTGCCTCAGCCTCCTGAGCAGCTGGAATTACAGGCGTCTGCCATCACGCCCGGCTAATTTTTGTATTTTTAGTAGAAACGGGGTTTCACCATGTTGGCCAGGTTGGTTTCAAACTCTTGACCTCAGGTGATCCACCCGCCTCAGCCTCCCAAAGTGCTAGGATTATATGCGTAAGCCACTGCACCAGGCCAATTTTTGTATTTTTTAAATGCTTGACCAAGTGTCTATAATAGGCAAGTAGTACCTTTTGTTCTTTCATTGCAATTTGATTCAGTATAGGCTACAGTATTTTTACAGGGTAAAACTACTTATGGAAGTAGTATGCACAGCAGTGTTAGCCATTTCATATGTATGTAACATGCACATGTGTGTATCCAACCTGCCTGTGACGTGCATTTTACTCTTTGCAGAGTATGAGCTGCAGTCCAGTTTAATGTCAGTTTGATAAGTGGTCTCTTAGCAGACCAAAAAAATACAGGATAAATACTTAACCTATTTTTTTTGAAAACTTAAATTTGTGTGTAAAATATTTATTTGAAGGACTTTAATATGTAAAAATAATTGTCTTGCTATGCCAGCCGCTACGGATTTTATTTTAATGTGAATTATTTTTTTCATTTTTACCAGTAGTGAAAAAGTAGAAAAGCAAGTATGATATTTTTGTAAGATAATTTATTTGGGGATTCATGTTCCCTGTTAGGCAATCATGACCTTTTCTCCTTGTCTTTTTATGTATAAGTAAGTAGAATTTCACTTGTTTAGGGATTAAGAAGATGTTCTAGAATGTACATACCTTGTCCAGCCATCAGAATCAAAATAAAAAACTAAAAAAGTTCAGTGTGTGTACTTTTTTCTTCTGTGAGATTTGGTGAATCCAGTTTTAACCTACTTTTCATTATAAGGGAAAACAGGCTTCTTGTGACTACAGTCATTTTAATAAAACATTGTAACTTGTGAAAGGTTACATGTACTTTCTTCTTGTACTTTCTTTTAAAAAACTTTTTAAAATTATTTTTTGTAGAGAATGAGGGTCTTGCTTTGTTGTCCAGGCTGGTCTCAAACTCTTGGCCTCAAGCAGTCCTCCCCAGCCTTGGCCTCCCAAAGTGCTGCGATTATAGGCATGAGTGGCCACACCCAGCTGGTTACTTGTACTTTCCTATATTCTGTGTCTGATACTGAGCATCTTGCCTGACACGATGTGTGCAGAAAGAATGTTGGATCGAATGAGGATAGATGAGTCATTTTCTCCAGATATCTTCATCTCATTCCTTTAATTCGTCAAATATTTCTTGAATGTATTTGTTTCTTAGCCTCTCTAGGGAAGTGACATCTTAATTTATGCCTATACAATCTGCCTGTTCACAGGAGTGCCTTAAACCTAATTTGAGACAGGAGTGGTAATATTTGGAACTCTGAAACTAATTTTTCTTTTTTGAGACAGAATCTCACTTTGTTGCCCAGGCTGGGGTACAGTGGTGCAATCTTGGCTCACTGCAACCTCCGCCTCCTGGGTTCAACGGATTTCCCTGCCTCGGCCTCCCAAGTAGCTGGCATTACACGTGTGCACCACCACACCTGGCTAATTTTTATACTTTTAGTGGAGATGGGGTTTTGCCATGTTGGCCAGGCTGATCTTGAACACCTGGCCTCAAGTGATCCTACCGCCTTGGCCTTCCAAAGTGCTGGGATTACAGCCGTGAGCCACTGTGTCTGGCCTTGAAACTAATTTAAATACTGATTTTCTTGAACTGTGAGGATTTTTTTTTTTTTTTTTTTTGAGTGAACTCATTGGCTGGGTGTGTTGGCTCACGCCTATAATCCCAGCACTTTGGGAGGCCGAGGTGGGTGGATCACCTGAGGTCAGGAGTTTGAGACCAGCCTGGCCAACCTGGTGAAACCCCATCTCTACTAAAAATACAAAAATTAGCTGGGCATGGTGGTGGATGCCTGTAATCCCAGCTACTGGGGAGGCTGAGGCAGGAGAATAACTTGAACCCAGGAGGTGGGGGTTACGGTGAGCTGAGATCATGCCATTGCAGCCCAGCCTGGGCAACAAGAGTGAAACTTTGTCTCAAAAAAAAAAAAAAAAAAGAAGAAGAACTCATTCTGTTCAAATAAGTAAGGGAACCTAGTATTCCAAAACTGTGTGCTTGGAGAGAAGAGTTTGTGTGATGATATGATCATAAGAATTGATTTGGCCGGGCGTGGTGGCTCACGCCTGTAATCCCAGCACTTTGGGAGGCCGAGGCGAGTAGATCACGAGGTCAGGAGATCGAGACCATCCTGGCTAACACGGTGAAACCCCGTCTCTACTAAAAAAAAAAATACAAAAATTAGCCGGGCGTGGTGGCAGGTGCCTGTAGTCCCAGCTACTCGGGAGGCTGAGGCAGCAGAATGGCATGAACCCGGGAAGCAGAGCTTGCAGTGAGCCAAGATTGCGCCACTGCACTCCAGCCTGGGGGACAGAGCGAGACTCCGTCTAAAAAAAAAAAAAGAATTGATTTTTTGGCTGGGCATGGTGGCTTATGCCTAGCCATTTTTTATCCACTTAAAAAAAAAAAGAAATTTGGGTGTGGTGGCTTACACCTGTAATCCCAGCACTTTGGGAGGCCTAGACTGGCAGATCACCTGAAGTCAGGAGTTTGAGATCAGCCTGACCAACATGGTGAAACCCCGTCTCTACTAAAATTACAAAAATTAGCTGGATGTGATGGCGCACACTTGTAGTCCCAGCTACATGGGAGGCTGAGGTGGGAAAATTGCTTGAACTCAGGAGGTGGAGGCTGTAGTCAGCCAAGATCTTGCCACTGCACTCCAGCCAGGACAACAGCGAGACAATGTCTCAAAAAATAAAATAAAAATTTAGCCAGGTGTGGTGGTGCCCACCTGTAGTTCCAAAGCTACTCAGGAGACTGAGGTGGGAGAATCACTTGAGCCTGGGAATTTGAGGTTGCAGTGAGCCTAGGCAACATTGGTAGAACCCATCTCTTAATAAATAAACACAGGCCGGGCGCGGTGGCTCAAGCCTGTAATCCCAGCACTTTGGGAGGCCGAGGTGGGTGGATCACGAGGTCAGGAGATCGAGACCATCCTGGCTAACACGGTGAAACCCCATCTCTACTAAAAATACAAAAAAAAAAATTAGCCGGGCGTGGTGGCAGGCGCCTGTAGTCCCAGCTACTCGGGAGGCTGAGGCAGGAGAATGGCGTGAACCCAGGAGGCGGAGCTTGCAGTGAGCCGAGATAGTGCCACTGCACTCCAGCCTGGGCGACAGAGCAAGACTCCGCCTCAAAAATAAATAAATAAATAAATAAATAAATAAATAAATAAACACAAAGAAATAGAGCAAATAGATAGATAACAAAAGCAAAATCCCCTGGATAATATCTACAATAAGACTAGGTGACCACTTACCCCCTCAAATTCTAAAATACAAGCTAGTGAAGACGAACTACAAACAGATGCAAGACCTGCATGATCTCAGTGTCTGTGCAGGACAAAGAAGGCGCAAAGCCTGACAGATGTGAGAACAGGGGAAACCCCATATCATCAACTGGAACTCCTGGAAAGCACCATGGAACAATTGAAAAGTAGCAGCTGAAACTCAAGAAATTTGTTTCCTTCCAATACCAGATGAGTGCAAGTGGGCCATGGTAAGAGTGTTCAGGGGTGCTTAAGATCACTCTCAGATTCGATGACTTGCCAGGACTCACAGAACTCAGAAAAGCTGTTACGCTCATGGTTACTATTTAGTAAAGCAAAAAGACACAGATTCAAATTAGCAAGTTTGGCCGGGCCTGCTGGCTCACACCTGTAATCCCGGTACTTTGGGAGGCCAAGGTGTGGAGGATTGCTTGAGGCCAGGAGGTCAAGACCAACCTGGGCAACATGATGAGACCCCCATTTCTACCAAAAAAATTTTTTTAATTAGCTAGGCATAGCCAGGCATTAGCCGGCTACTCAGGAGGCTAAGGTGGAAGGATCACTTGAGTTCAGCAGTTTGAGGCTACAGCGAGCTACATTTGCCACTATACTCCAGCCTGGGTGACAGAGCAAAATCCTGTCTATTAAAAATAAACGGCTGGGCGCAGTGGCTCACGCCTGTAATCCCAGCACTTTGGGAGGCCGAGATTGGCAGATCACGAGGTCAGGAGATCGAGACCATCCTGGCTAACATGGTGAAACCCCATCTCTACTAAAAATACAAAAAAATTAGCCAGGTGTGGTGGCGGGCACCTGTAGTCCCAGCTACTCGGGAGGCTGAGGCAGGAGAATGGCATGAACCTGGGAGGTGGAATTTGCAGTGAGCTGAGATCGGGCCACTGCACTACAGCCTGGGCGACAGAACGAGATTCCGTCTTATAAATAAATAAATAAATAAATAAATAAAATCTGGGTGCTGTGGCTCACGCCTGTAATCCCAGCCCTTTGGGAGGCTGAGGCAGGTGGATAAAAATACAAAAAATTAGCCGGGCATGGTGGCTGGTGCCTGTAATCCCAGCTACTCAGGAGGCTGAGGTAGGAGAATCACTTGAACCCAGGAGGCAGAGGTTGCAGTGAGCTGAGATCACACCACGTACTCCAGCCTGCATTACAGAGCGAGGCTCTGTGTCAAAAAATAATAATAATAAATAAAATAAGCAATGGAAAAAGACACGCAGGGCAGGGGCCTGGAGAGACCAGGCACAAGCTTCCATTTATTCTCTCCCAGTGGAATCATGTGGACAGTACTTAGCTGCTCTTCAACAGTGTGTGACAGTTTGAACAGAATATTATCTATCAGGGAACTTCACCTAAGTCTTGGTTTTTATCAGCAGCCTGGGGGTATGGGGGCATGGCTGTCCCCCTGTGTGGCTCACCTTAGTCCTCAGCCTTGCCTGAGCTGAGGCTGATACCATAAGGCTCAAGGCCCCCAGGTAAACAAGGACAAGCTTATCAGGCAGGATATTGCCAAGGCCTACCCTTTCTTTAGGATCTGAAGGGTGTGGCCAACCCAGACCTGCTACTTAACCCTTTGCTGCACAGTAAGAAAATCTGAAGGACCTGGAGTGGTCCAGCTCTTATGGATTCTCAAAAGTGACGTGCTAGACTGTTCTAGGATAGGCTCCAATAATGAGGAAAAATTGAAGGGAGGAGAATTAAAATTGAGGATAATCAGCCAGGCATGGTGGCTCAAGCCTGTAATCCCAGCATTTTGGGAGGCCAAGGTGGGTGGATCACGAGGTCAGGAGTTCAAGACCAGCCTGACCAACATAGTGAAACCCCATGCCTACTAAAAATACAAAAATTAGTCAGGTGTGGTGGCGAGTGCCTGTAGTCCCAGCTACTTGGGAGGCTGAGGCAGGAGAACTGCTTGAACCTGGGAGTCGGAGGTTGTAGTGAGCTGAGATTGCACCACTGTACTCCAGCACTCCAGCCTGGGTGACACAGCGAGACTCTGTCTCAAAAAAAAAAAAAAAAAAAAAAATTGAGGATAATACCTGACGGGAGATACTGTGATCAGGAAGGTGGTTTTCCAAGGGCAAGGCTTATTCATTAGACTTTAGATGTATGGACCCCTGCGATTTACCCAAATGTGGAAATTTGAATGTACAGTTTGTGGTAGTGAAGGGGCTATGTGCTCTCCCACTAAAAATTAAAAAAAAAAAACAAAAACATTGAACGGAATAGATTCGAGATGAAGGAAAGAAAAATCAAACCCAAAGTTGGGGAGAGGAATAGATAGAGACTAGAAATCCCAGAGGCCAGGCACAGTGGCTCACACCTGTAACCCCAGCACTTTGAGAGGCCAAGACAGGAGGATCACTTGAGCCCAGGAGTTCCAGACCAGCCAAGGC